AGGAGTTTTTAGAAGATGAACACCTTGTAACCACCCTCCACCCTGTCAAGAAATAGAATGTGGCCTGCTCTCTAGAAGCCCCTCCCTATGCCCTGCCACAGGCCCAGCACCTTCCCTCCCTGTAGTAGCAACCCCTCTCCTGACCCATCTAGTAGGCATTTTCTTACATTTCTTTGTGGGTTTATCACCCAGGTGGGCATCCCTGGACACCATAGTTTAGTCTTGCCTATTTTCCTAAATTTAATATGTTCTTTAACCAGTAAGTCCCTGGGGCTCCTTCCCCTTTTCTTCTTTGTAGTCTGTTAAAGAGCCAAAGCCAATTGACTTGGAGTTTTCCGCAGTCTGGATAGTGCAGTTTACTATGTTGTTCTTTTTACCTCCTGCAAACCAGAGTCTTGATAAGACTCAGGTTCTGGTCAAGCCTTTGGTAAGATGACAGTGTTATGTTCTTTCACCAGGAGGAACGTAATGTCTGCTGTCTCTCTTTTTGTGATACAAGCAGCAATTGATGCTCAGTGCGATTATTAATTCACCGGGGTTCTTCTAAGTCAGCCATTTCTGTGCAGTAGTTGTAAATCAGGTATGGGTCTTAGGTCTTATTTGTGACATGTCTTTTGATGTTGTCCATGTGTTCCAAGGACAGAGTAAGGAAGATGAAGCCACAGTCCATTCCCACTCTGAAAGGGGAGAGCTTTTGAGTGGCGAGAGCTGACCAAAGCTGCCAGTGGCTCTTAGGAGGCATGTGCTTCCTGTTGCAGGTGCACTGACAGAGGTGTTCATGAGGATTGTGACAGCATCAAAATTCTTCTGAGAGTATATTTTATAGGACATGGGACATAATTTCACCATTTCAAATATGGATTTTTCAGATGTTTGAGCTTCGTTTCATGGCACCTGTTGGCCAAACAAGTGGTCTCGTTTGCTATCTTGTCCTATGAGTGCAATTCCCCATTGCAGTGTTGCTATGGGAGATAGTCTTTATGACAGTTTCTAAATATTTATGTCAATGGGACCTGCCGGGCTGGTTTCTCAAAACATTTAATACTAGAATATTATGGTGTGTGTTTTTTTTTCCTTTTTAGTTCTTAATGCAGAAAGTCAGAAAAGAGACGATAAGTTTACTTGATCAGCATGAAAAGAGGAAACCCACAATCAAACTGGAATCACTTCATTTCATGTCAGGACTGAACAGCGATAACTACAAAATATTCGCAAGGGATTGAATACTGTGAAATTTACTAAGTAACATATAGACCTAAAGATGATTATTGTGGAATTTTAGTATGTCACTGGGGGTTACTTTTGAAGCATCTATATTAAAGATGTTAACATGTGTTGGCTAATAGGTATTTCATGAGAAGATCAACACCAAAAATAGAACACAACTTCTCCAGGATAGCGACAGTGGCACTTACCATCCTGGATCGACCTGTGTTTAAAATAAAATCCACAGGAAGAGTCCATCTTCTGGTGCGAAGGAGAGGCCTGCTGCACGTAAAAAAAAAAACACAACCCCACCTCTTCTTGGTTCCTTCTGGAGTTATTCTCTTCTCCAAATGCGATGGCAAGTGAGGGCACCAGCCTGTCATTTCTGTTCTCCCTGGTCAGCACTGGATTACGGGTTTCTGCTCTCCTGTGCTCATTCCTGGTTCTGACACTCAGAGGCCTGGAGCACTGACTACTAACACTACTGACAGCATTGTAAACACGTTTAAACACCAAGGTGTTTGTGGGAGAATTTTTAACGACCACTTGTATAATAGCCCTTGTTGTTAATGTTAAGTGGCTTCTAATGTGAAAACTGGTGATCTGTACTTACTTTGCTAATGTTTGTAGGCAAAGCAGGATCTTCTGTAATGAGTGGGCATCACCAAAAAAAGCTATGAGTGGATTAGACTTGACACAACAGGGGCCAGAGCAGAGGTGACCCGGGTGCCCGAGGGCGACACAGCACCATGGGGAGGGTTTGTTGTGGACAAACTGCCTACTTTGCTGGAGGAAAGAGAAAGTTGGTGTTGAACAGTATACTGTTATAAGTTGGGAAATATTAGAAAGGGAAGAGAAATGGCATTGTGTCATAGTTTACATATTTAGCTTGTGGTAAATGCCTATCAAAACTGATTTAAAAATCAAAAGTTAATGTTCATTTGAAAATGACTAATCATAATTTACATTGATAATAGTTTTGGTTTTAGTTGATCCTTAATATTTCAGGAAAATAGGCTTTTGCCACTTGTGAATAACTGGCAAAACCACACCAATGGCTTTCAATGAGGCTCTCTAAGCAGTTAAGTGGGTGGTGCGCTCACTAAAATATATTTGGAGTTACAGGATTGAGATGCAGTCTCCTTGCGTCATTTGGTGGGACTCCCTTGTTTTGAGAGGAAACTGGCCCAGAGGAGTTGGAGCATAACCTGGCCTCACACCCAGGGTGACTAGCTGTGCCCCTGGCAGTCACTGAGGCAGCACCTGCTTTGCCTTCAGGTTAAGCTCTACAACTTGGATGTTCTTCATGTATAATTCCCTTTTACCTAATTGCTAAGACTGAACTTTTCCACCCAGAAAAGGCATCTAAGAGTATAAAAGGAGCTCTATAAGATTTTATCTAAGTCCTTGTCCCACCTCCCTTAGTCTTAAGGCTTGATTTCCCAAATAGTTAATTCATCTCATGTTTAGTTAGTGTGCACAGAGTTGCTGAGAAATGAAATACTGTTAGTCCAGCTTTTAAAACTTTCAGTTTTCCTTTCATCCCTTATTTGATCGCTAAAGAACCAGCTTTTAAGTTGTGGAGACGAGATATCAATATAAATAAAAAGTAACCCGTGATGATTTCATCTTCATTTACAGAGGCATCAAGGCCATTCCTTTAGGGCAGTGGTTCTCAACCTTGGCTGCACATTAGAATCACCTGGAAATCTTTTTAAAATCCTGATTTCTGGGCCTCAACCTCCGGAAATTCTGTTTCTTTGTTACTAATGTTGTGGCCCCACCCCATAACAAAGAAACAGAATTTCCAGAGGATGAGGCCCAGAAATCAGGGTTTTAAAAAGATTCCCAGGTGATTCTAATGTGCAGCCAAGGTTGAGAACCACTGCTTTAGGGGGTGTGCCCTGCGTGGTTTCTCCAGGCAGTCATGCTTTATTATTACTGGCTTCCTGTGGGATCACAAGCACCTAGCCCGAAGCACAATTTAGAGGTATTATGGCTGTTAAAAAACTAAACACACACCTGTGTAATAAGCATCCAAATTAAATCAGCAGCTATTCTAATCTCTAATTGGCATCAACTAATTGACACCTGCCCTCTCTGTTCTCAAATGGTGTGTGGGCAGGAAAGATGAATCGTTTTATCTTTTCTCCTGCAGATCAGACTGCAGGTGGAGATTCTAAGCAACCTTGGATTAGACTTAGATTTCCCGAGGAATCTAATCTCAGCACACACCTAGTGTGTACTTTTGTGTGATGAAGCTTGAGAAATAAACCTCTCCCTGTTAAGTCAGTATGTCGTCATTAAATAACTAGATAATTAGCATGATTGTTTTAATTGGTAATTGCTGGTTATCCATTCATAGAACCTGGCATGGTGAAGAAAATTGTGAATTCATGGTCCTGGTGGTTAGTTTTACTACCATTATGTTTTAGCCTAAAACATTATTAACTACAAATAGTTATTCTAACACTTGTCTTTGAAATGGATTTTAGAAAAATTTTTTAATGGCAGAGGTTCTACTAAATGGGTTATATTAACTTCCTTTTTGCACATATTAGCTTAGATGTTGAAAATGTTCATTAGTGCCTGAAAGTTGGGAAAAGTTTATTTTGATTGTGTATTTAAATGTTTGTTTGTATGCTATTTCTCAGCTCAGAGAGCAACACTTTAAGTGTAAGCCACTGTTCCTTAAAAACTGGTTTGTAAAATTCTGATAATGTATACACTGAAAGATTATTCTAAAATACGTATCTTCCCATGCACTTAAAACACACACAACTGAAAGGCTTTAATCTCACTGGTGTGCATCTCTGGGAAAAGTTAACTGGCTTTTGATATTATCTTTAAACTATACACTTCATATAATGGGTTTTACAAACCAAGGCCCTAATCAATTGAGACAAATGCTTATTTTCTATTCTTACTCCTGAACTGAGTGACATTGAATATAAGTTGCCAATATAATTTACACCCCTAGAGATTCTAGTACTATGCTGGGTGCTTAGTAAATATTTTACTCTTAAGTCCAAATAAATGATTGTGATTGATCAGAGATGGCCTAGATAACCTACTTTTCATATTAACTGAAAGTTGCCTGTTAGAAACATTTAAATGAATAGATGGCTTTTTGTATGAATGTTAAACACATGGGAATTAAGATGAAAACCCATTTGGCTGTAAGAGGTAAGCCAGAGTCTGTGTTGGTAGCTTGCTTCTTACTAAAATGTCTCTGAAAACTGTAGTGAATGACAGTGATGGAACCTCCAGGGTGATGTGCCACATCTGCCTTTATCCAGAATTTAAGTTCACATTTAAATAGTCACCTCAACAGTTTCCCTCTCTCTCCAAAAAAGCTGCTGTATTATCAACATTTAACATTTTTGTACCATTTAAAAAAGTAGTTCTGTGATTTCAACCAGCAGCCTACAACTGACAGGGTTGTTTTTTTGTTTGTTTTCCTGTAAAGGACAATCCTGCTCTGGTTTTTGAGATAGGCTCATTACAAAATTATTCTAGGACTCAACAGATGACATATCTGTGATCAAAACAAAGTACAACACCTTCCTTTAAGCTTGGCTTAATGTTTGAATTGTAGACAGAAGGTTTCAGAGTTGTGCAATAACTTTACATGATCCTCCAAAAGCAGATAAATTCTCTTCTTAAATGGAAGGCATTATTAGCAGACTACAGGAAAAAAACCTTATAATCTTTCTGGTTCAGTATCTCAGGTCATTTCATCTCTTCAAAATCAATTTTAAAACTCTTTGGGCAGCTGTAGGATGACACAAATATTCAGTCATCTCAAGTTTTATTTTATGGCTCCTTATTATAAGCAAAAGCAACCAGTTCTGATTCCCTACTCTCCTTATGATTTGGATGTATCTGATATACCAACTTGTGTGCTTGGATTGATTTGTAAATACCCGACAAATGAATCAACTTTTATCTGCTGAAGCAAACTTTCAGTGCAAGGACCAGACTCCAACTTGCTACTCCAAATTTCTCTGCCCTTCTATCCGTCCTGTTCCCACCATCAGTGTTTCTTTTACTAAAAAAAGGCAGTCAACCTATTGCCCTAGTGACCTTTTTTACCTTCTCAGTTTACCCCAGAATAGCTCAATGCCACATTTAAAAATTCCATATTCCATTAATTGAATGAGCAGGTTCTAGAAAGATTGTCACTTTCCTCAAGCTTATACTACAGTTGGGAAGGTAGAAACAACTATTTAAATTACAACTGAAAGTGCTAAGTACTTTTAAGGGGCTTGGCCTAAACTTTAATCTTTTAAAAGTACCAAAGTAATAGTTAAGGACATTTTTAAAAACACCTACATTCTTACAGGTATATAATTTAATGTCATGACATGGAATCATAATGCCCATATAATAGCCTCCCTACATAGCTTAGACTAGGCCCCGTTCAAATGTATTTTCCCTAAATCACTTGATTTGAAACATCTTTTAGATAAGTTGTTTCAATTACTCAAATGTTAAAGAGTAAACACCTTCAGCTCTTAACATGTACCCACAAAGTACTATTTTTTTATCTCCAGTAATACATTTTGGTCAAATTTATTTACCTTTACAAACACTATTTTCACTCAGTCATTCATAAAAAATGATTTATGATTAAATCTGTAATAAGACCATATAACGTTCATCAATGCATTCAACAACATCAGTTTCATCCATGGACATAATAAACCACTTTAAAACAGCAGTTTTCATTCACATCATATAAGGCTGTCAAATTAAAAGAATTCCTTATAATGGGTGGTTATCCAAGAAATCCATTTCACTTCATGTTATATGGTAAGACTGATGGGTGGGTCCTAAAAAGTATAATCTGAAAGTAGATTTTACCCCTTTATGGTCACCTGTCAGTCTCAAACAAGTTTCACAACAGGAAAATATTTGTGAGCAGAGAAATCAAATTCAGGAGGAACCTGTAAAGAAAAATCAGAAAGTCAAATGTACCTAACAAATATTTAGACAGTAAACAAAGATTATTTTTTAGAGTATTTTTAAAGACAAGGCAGTACAAGGGAGATTTTTAAAAAGCTGGTTAAATAGCAAAAAACTAAGAAACTAACCTGGGTTTATGAAGATCACTAGAAAACAAGCTGACCATCTATCTTTAGAGAATAGTTAAAGGAAAATGGACTTAAAATACAGGAAAAAGTCATGGGTCAGCAAATATTTTAGTTCCAGGGTCACTGACAGTACTGAGCAATTACATGAGAGTCACTGGTAAAGCCAGGCAGGAGAGGAGATAGAAAAACAATGGGAGTAAACAAATAGCAGTACATATGGGCAGATGCCACCGCAAATACTTCAGTGGTTGGCTTCCAACGAGATGCAGAACCTCTGTGTTGAATATTTACATAGCACTGATGATAAAATATTACCAAGGAAGCATCCATCTCCTGAACCATTAAAAATATCTTATTATTGAAGCATCCATTTCTAAAGACTTTTTAAATACCTCTCCCATATATGTATGTATACAATGGGCAGATGCCACCGCAAATGCTTCAGTGGTTGGCTTCCAACGAGATGCAGAACCTCTGTGTTGAATATTTACATAGCACTGATGATAAAATATTACCAAGGAAGCATCCATCTCCTGAACCATTAAAAATATCTTATTATTGAAGCATCCATTTCTAAAGACTTTTTAAATACCTCTCCCATATATGTATGTATACACATTTTCTTTTTTTTATCCCAAGTCATCCAGTAAATTTGCAGAGTGGGAATAGGGGAATGAAAAGGCAGACTTTTGAAATTTTAAGTTAACAGAACCTTTCAAGTCAAAAGGGCAAGCTCTAGTCTATTTTCTTTTTCCAGCTTCTGATCCTTTTGAGTGCTTAATTTTTTTGGAATGAAACACCTTATTGAAAAAAGTGAAGTTCTATGATAATTTAGGACCATTTATTTTCCCCACAATGTACTTAACTTACCTTAGATTCCTTTTTGTGTCCTCCTGCCAGTAACTTCATAACCACAAAATTGGGTTTGGCAACCTTTAAAATTCTATTGACCTAAACAATGAGCAACATTAAGCTATCAAAACATGAAATTTACAATCAAAATGTCTTAATATTATAGATACTAATAGGAACTTTGCACATTTAATTGTTGATACTTTATTAAATATAGGCAATTTAAAAATAGATTTCTTTTAGTAACACAGAATCCTATTTTAGTCAACTCTGAAAACATCAAAGGGCTACCGTAGCTTGCTCTTATGAAAACAAAAGAACATTGAGCTGCAAAGACAACACCATGGAGGGGGCCATGGACTCGAGTTAGGCTGTCTGCTTACAAATTCTAGCTTTGCCACTTACTAGCTATGAAATCTCTGGCAAGGTCTCTAACCTCTCTTCCTCAGTTTCTTTACCTGTAAAAATGGGGATAATTTTCCCTATCCCACCAGGATCTGTTGTAAAGATTAAATGAGTTCATTTATATTATGACCTGAGAACCAGGCCTCACAGGTAGTAAGTATCCTGTAAGTGTTAACTGTTATTTCTATCACTGTCTAAAAAGCGTCACTGCAACTTGAAGGAAAAAGTTCCGTCATCATCTTGCTGACCCCTCAGGAAACACACTTCACTATAACTTTAAGAAACACTCCTCCTCAGCTCCAGATCACACAGCCACCTGCCCTGATGACAGCTCCATTTAGGTGGGGTGTCCAAAACAGCTCAACTCCCAGCTCTGCCTCCCCGCCTGCTCCACCTGCATCTTCCTCATATAACTCCATCCATCAGGTTTTCAGGCCAAAAACCTTGGAGTCATCCTTGACTCCATATCCAACCCATCAACCAACTCTGCAGGCTTGACCTTAAAATACATAGAGAACGCGATCACTTCTGATCACCTCCACTGTCACTACCAACTCTCACCCGGGATACTGCTGTGGCCTACTACCTGGCTCCCCTGCTTCTGCTGGTCCCACTACAGTCTATTTTCAGCCAAGTGACCACAATGATCCTTTGAACACAGATCTGGTCACTCCTCTGTTTGAAACCCTCTAACAACTCACCCCTTGTTTGCCCCTTGAAGAACATCAGTCCTTGGCTGTTCTTTAAATACTCCAGGCACACTCCTGCCTCATCACACCTTTACACACGCGGATCCCACTGCTTAGAAGGCTCCATCCCTACCTGGCCACATGATTTGCTGCTTCACCTTCCAGGATTTGCTCAAAGACCACCTTATTAAAAAATGCCTCACCTCCTCTTCCTCTTATCTCCTGTAGCAGTCACTATCCCATTCCTAGCTTGATTTTTTCTTCATAATACTTATGATCTAATATACTATTTTACTTATCTTTTCATTTATTTACTTATTGTCTGCAACCCACCACTCTCCTCAACACAGGAGGGCTGGGATTTTTGCCCCTTTTTCACTGTTGGAATCTACCACAGTGCCGGAGGCATAGGAGGCACTAAGGAAATACTTGAATAAGTGAAGTCCACTACTAGTAAAAGAAATAGGCTGTTTTTTTATTATAGGTACCTTCCTCTAATTTTTATACTTCCCCCCCCTTTTTTATTACATCATTATACTAGTATGTGATTAAAAAAAAAGGTGTCTCCTTTCCATCCCTGTTCCCTGACACTCCCTCTCAAGAAGCACACACTGTTATTCTAATTTCTATTATCTTTCCAGAAGTATTATATATATTATATAATACTTGCCCCTTTTGACTGAAATGGCAACATACTATATAGTTTACTACCTTGCCTTTTAAACTTCTTGTATTCTAAAAAATGTTCCATTACAGTGCATAAAGGTCTTCCTTGTCCTTTCAAAAGCTGCATAGTATTTCATGGTATGACGTGTCTTAAGTTATTTTACAGTCCCCTGTTGAAGAACACTACTTCCTTCATTTTCTTGCTATTAGAAATCCTGCTGTGATGAATACTCTTGTATATTTGTCACTTCCCTTACTTTCCACATGTGCACATGTATCTGTAGAAAAACCCTAAGAAGTAGAACTGCTGAGCTACCCTTCCATGGAGGTTGTACCGAGATATACTCCCCGCAAATGGTGTATGATACAGGTAACTCATTTTACAGAAGAAATGCATTTCAATAAAAGTAGGTATACAGCAAATTGTGAAAATTATGAAAACCTGAAACTTAATATGTACAAGCTCTGTAAAATGGTATTTTAAAATAAAGTCATCAAAAACAATAGTCTTTATTTTATATGGTCAAGGGGATAAGGTGGTTTTCACTTCCTGTGATAACTAACCAGATCATTTTTCAGATTTAAGATTTATGTGATTATATTTGAATATAGTAAACTATAGGTTAAAATATTTTAAACATTAACATTTCTAACAAGCCAGATCTTATTTCTCTTCTTCACAGCTCTAACTCATAATTTCTCCTTGCATTGATTTCTAAATTTACCCATAGGAGGTATTTACATCACCTCTCATCAAATAATTTTAAGTCTGACAAGGTTAGGTTAAGAAAGCCATTTGAAATCCAGGGCAGAAACATGACAGGCTTCATTTATGAATACCATGAAGTTCACTTTTACACTTAAACTGTTGTTCAGTGGTAAGATTTGTACTCCCAACCAGTCTTTCCCTGTAGAGTCAGAGACTGAGCCTTACCTCGTGGTCGGGGTTCGGGAGGTTCTCCAGGATCATTTTGGCCTGCTGGAAGTGCTTGCTAGCTGCCACGTACAGTTCTGGAGACTGGGGGGGAGGGCTGTATTTATTGAGGTCAGACATTTCCTAAAGGGGGAAACACTATTATTCAAAACATGTTTAATATGAACAACTCTAAAAAAAACCTTTTTAAATTAAAGAATTCTACATCGACTATCCATTCCTATATAGACACCTAAGCAAACACTCAGCATGTCCCTATTTTTTCCTAGGTAATATTAAATTCTCAACCTTCAAATACTGCCTCATATTATTCTCATTCTTAAATAAATGTTAAACATGATAATAGTATCCCAAAAAAGCCAAATAATTTTGACACTATTTAAATTGCCATTTTCTTACTCTGTCCCATTAGTCCAACAACAGTCTGATTTTAGTATTTTAACGAAGTGGCTAGGTACAAACATCTCTAAGAAGACCTAAGACTAAATATTTTAGTGACTTTAGTGAGCAGGTTCACCTTGAACTGCAGATAGTGTACTGGGGGTGGTGTCATTACGCTGTTGAATGGAGCAAATCTGTGCTCATATCGAACTTGTTCACTATCAAGCTCAAACTTGGGTTTTCGTACTTTGCCATCCATGTCAAATGCTACCATGGTCTACAGGAAAAAAGAGAATGAGGAAATATATATCAATATGAAAAAGTAAACATTCTCATTAATTCAGAATAGAAAACAAGAAACAACTATTTACAGATATCTAAAACAACTTAAGGCTCAGAAATCAGAAATAGGAAGAGAAAAACTGGCTTTAGTGTTTACTTTTATGTCACGTGTCATCTTTAATAGAAAAGGTTTTCAAGGCCTAGTGTTGATATTACTATTTTTCCCAGTGAAATTATACCATATGCACATTATTTTCCCATGCTTCATGGTTTACAATAGCTTTGGAAGCTTCAAGTAAAAATTTCTGAAGAAACATGTAGGCATATAAATTTTTATAAGAAAAGGAGTCCATGTTCTATATATTTTAATGTGTTACCAATAAAGTTAGGACTCAGTACTCACTCCACCTCCTTGAAAATGCCTGCGTTTGCTTAAGCCATTCATTGTGGAGCCCGCCCCTTTCCTAATACACCCCTAGAAGATCCAAACCCCATCTCTTTCAAGAAACCTTTGCTGATCATCAATCAGAAGTAAACTCTTCCTTCTCTGATTATCTGTGTCACACACGTCACCTGGCCTGTCATTAATAAGGCACCTGAGACAAGGATCACATCTGATTAGACTTGGTATTCTGCAAGGTATTCAGTACAAGATATCTGGCATAACATGGGCTCAAATATTTGGTAAACAACTCAATGAAAACAACTAGACTTGGAAAAAAGGTTTCAAGCAGATGTTTAACATAGGTGAAATTAGAACCTGGAAAAAATCACAGAGTCAATTTTAACTAACCTACATGATAGCAGTGTAGTTGAAAAGCAAAAAGAATTCTATTTTCAACAACTTACCTTAAACATTCCAGCACACATGTTCTGATAGGCCTGGCTCATTGTGATTTCTCGGCTCAAAGGGCGAACTGTAATTAGAAGGAAAATCACCTGTACTCTTCACCTTCCTCTTGCATTACTGCAGAAGAAAATCTAATTTTTGAAAAATCTTCCATGTTTACTAAATTAAAATTTTGAATAGTTTGTTCCTACAGGCTACATTTTATTTTATGGTCCAAAACTACAAATAATAAAATATAACTTAAAGACTAAATAAAAATTATGTTCCTTGAATGGTTAATACCAAAGAATTCTAAAGTAATTTTAACTTCTGAATTTGTCAGATAGAGATTTAACGTGTTTTTTTATATGTAATATGGTATGTTTAGTCCCAAATGCTGTGATAAATGATGTTTCTTTTTTAATTTTTATTTTTCAATTACAGTTTATGTTCAAAGTTATGTTGTATTAGTTGCCTGTGTATAGCATAGTGGTTAGACAATCATATACTTTACAGAGTTCTCCCCATATTTCCAGTACCCACCTGGCACCACACATAGTTGAGACTTCTTAAAGAAGAAACCCATGAACTGTCATTTAATAGCCCACCCAAACTGTTAAAATCTGATGGAAATATAAAGAAATATTTTGTAATGATTGCAGCAATATCTGTACCCTTCCACGAGTCACTAGTGACTAATGAGACAGTCCCTTTGAAACACTTCTTTCTCCTCATGGTCCCTGAGTGGTGTGCCAAGGTGCTAGTTATCCTGTGCTGACTCTAAGAGCACAGCTCCAGATCTGCCTCTCTCCTGAGCTGCCAGCCTTCTGTCCAAAGATCAGAGACCTGCTGTCTTGTGCCTTAACTAAATTGCTTGCATGGTTTATGTGCTACTTCTTTTCCTAAGGTCCTCTGACACATGGAATTGCAAAGAAAGGAACCAAAAAGCCTTGTATCACTAATATTGGGACGCTTTTTCTTATACTTCTGAAGAGAAGATGAGAATTAAAATATTATGACTAATTCACCCATTACAAGGGACAGAAGTGTCTCCAATATTATTTATTTCTTAAGTTTAAAAATAATCCACGGCACCTTTCTTCTTTTTCTTTGTCTTTTTACTGCTACGGCCCTTCTGCTGCTCTTCCATTATCCGTTCCTCTGCCATTTGAGAGCCATCAGCACGACTTAATGTCGACATCAACCATGCATAAAGGAATTCAGACAGATACCTTATAGAATAAAAATGTTAGTTAACAGTGGGTGTCTAAATGAGATAGCTTTATCAACACATGTATTAATACTGATAAAGAGATATTTTTCATAATGCTAAAAAAGTCTTTTAAAAATAGGTTATCCAATTAGATAATTGATAGATCTTAGGTCAGATCAATTAGATTAGAAATCAGCATTACAAGTAATTAACTTTCCGTTTCTTGTAGCCATCTATGTTGCCACACAATACTGGAAAATTTCTTTAATTTCCTACAACAACATGCGTTTTACAACTTTACAAAAGATTTCTTGATAATGATGTGTATATGTAAATCGAATGAATGCCCATTACATTGGTTTTACTGTATCAGGACACGTTCACCTCAACCTATTAAATTTTCTCCCCCCGTTAATTACAAAAGAAAGCAATAAGTCCAAGCCAAGAGCACAAAAGCTTCTAATCAGCTACCTCAAACCACTAAGAGCTTGAGCATTTTCTCCTATAAACCGTCTTGTCTATGAGTTAACAAAATATAAGCCAAGTATCTATACCAAGACCTTTTGGTAAGAGTTATCTATTGAAATGTTGGAGAATATACTAAATAATATTTTTCTCATATCACTATAGTTGATGCTCAAATTTAATTTTCATAGTCAAGAGTTTTCTGTTAAAGAACCCTTAGCGCCATGATAAAAAAAACTATGTCAACTGCATGGAAGAGAATTACTTTCATTCCTTCATAGAGTTACTCCAAGGAATATACAGTATCTTAACTACAAATAAAATAATCTGAATGAGTTAAAAAGATGAACTATATTAAGATTTAATATACTAAACTTAGTTGTTTGTGATGAGCAATAATAGATTATTATTATTTAAAAATTACCACACAATTTGCCAGACTAAGAAAAAGATTTAAGATGACTCAATTCATTGGCTCACAATTTTCTCTCTTTTTCCCGCCCCCCATGTGTCCAGAACATGAACCAGGCATGGGCACAGACCAAAAGCCAAGCTGGGATAAACAAGGAGTGACTTTGTCCCTGGCTGAAATTCATTTTATTCTATGACAGTTTTTCCATGCCTAAAATATTCTCAAGCATTCTCTTACTAGCTTTTGTTATCTCTAAGTGAAAGCAGAGAACTACTCTGTTGAGGATCATCTCTCATCAGCTTCTTTAAACCACCTGAAACAAGTCCTCAGGGATGCAGTTTGCAAATGATAATCTCAGCCTTGATTTCTTCACAGAAGAATGATCTGGTTCAAATTTTGAACTTTAATTCCGATAAGTATAATACATAGCCAGTAGCAACCAGCATCACTGAAATTAGGCCAAAATGTGTATTTTTTTTTCACTTAGAAATAGGTAAGAGCTCTTCCAATTGTCCCACAGCTAAAATTAAAATACACAAATGAAAAAAGTACCCTAAAATTATATTCTACAGATGCTCTCTCAGATCTTTCCTATCCCACCCACTTACCAATATATGTAGTAGTACTCGTGCATGCTGTAGAGCTCCAATTCAAAGCCACTGAGAAGATACTGTATCATAATTCTGAGGTTATGGTAAAGGACCCAGGTACCTAAACAGGCCAAATGTTGCCTTTGGGGTTCCTGTTTCAACAGCATGGTGTGAAGAGCTGCATCAACCTTCTCTGCCTATCAGAATAAAATATCGTAATATTTACTTTCTTTTTAAGTAAAGAAAGAATTTAAAACAAACAGCTAAAAATAGCATGAGTAGAAAATGAAAATCTTGCCACTAAAAGAACTCATACTTACAAAAGTAGTTTTGGTTAAGTTTATATCCAAACTTTTCATTTCACAATGGATAACATTTAGCTAAATAGTCCTTTAAGCTAAAAAGTCATCCAATAGGCCAAAAATAAAAGTAATTGATTTCAGGTCTTTAGTTATATTTTCAATTAATATTGCTGCTGCTCACAAATTTACTCTAAGGTTAATATGTAATACATTTTTATGTTAATGTGAACTTGCTATAAAATTATAGTTATACATATATTTTATAGCTTATCCTGATTACCAAATAATTCAGTTTTAATTATTGTTCTGTTTCTTTTAAAAAACATATAAATATCTTTTTGATTTCAGAGAGGAAGAGAAAGAGACAGAAACATCACTGATGAGAGAGAATCACTGATTGGCTGCCTCCTGCACATCCCCTATTGGGGATCAAGCCTGCAACCCAGGCATATATATGCCCTGACCAGGAATTGAACCATGACCTCCTGCATAAGTGGATGCTCAACCACTGAGTCACTGTGGCCTGGGCTTGTTCTGTTACTTTTTGCAAACTCTTACTTTGGTATATGAAACTGTTACATTGTAAGTGAAAAGAGAATTCACCATAGTGAAAAATTAAATAGTCAAAATACTGTTCCAAAGAATTGTTTTAAAAGTTTGTTCAAGTCATATGAATTGCTGAGTTTTAGAAGGAAGGGTTACTTGTTGGCTCTTACCTCATCCTGCAAGGTAGCAAATTCCTCAAGAATATGACCGAGCTTGTCTCTTTGTCGAGCCCTATTATGCCCATGGATCTGAATAAGACTACAGAAAGGCTGCAACACATTAAAATTTGTTAACCGTCAATATGAAATTTCCTGATAATATAGAAAATTAACATTCTAAGTTTCCAAAATCCGGTTTAAGGAGAAAAAAAATACTGTGCATATAAGAATCATGCCTATGTGTATTTTTACACAGGTGTTTTTGAGGAACTCAACACCAGGATTTATCAATAGCTAGAAGAAAGTGGCTATTTATGAAACTTGTTTGCATATGACAAAAATATCTTTCTTTAATCTTCAGATATCATCCCACAATTTAAAGAGGGGTTTCTTTTGTGCTTATTTCAAGGCAAAAGGCACTGTTCAAGGCTGACACATCTGTGCTGCTTTAAATATACCAGAATGCCTAATAATTATAATACTTGGTAATGGCTAATAACTATAAACTCTAAGTTGTTCCGTTCCTAATCTATACAGTAGCCTATATAATAAAAAGCTAATATGCAAACTGACCAAACCACGGAATGACCGGTCACTATGATGCGCACTGACCACCAGGGGGCAGACACTCAATGCGGGAGTTGCCCCCTGGTGGTCATTGTGCTCCCACAGGGGGAGCACCACTCAGCCAGAAGCCAGGCTCGCGGCTAGTGAGCGCAGCGGCGGCAGTGGGAGCCTCTCTCGCTTCTGCGGCAGTGTTAAGGATCCCTCGGGGGATGTCCGTCTGCTGGCTTAGGCCCAATCTGAAGAGGGCACAGGCCAGGCTGAGAGACCCCCCCCCCCCCTCTGAAGAGGGCGCAGGCCAGGCTGAGAGACCCCCCCCACCCCAGTGCATGAATGTCATGCACCGGGCCTCTAGTCCTATATAATAAAAGCCTAATATGCAAATTGTCCCCTCGACCAGGAGTTCGACTGGGGGGTAGGGCCAGCTGGCCAACGGCCCGTGGCCCCTCACCCTGGACAGCTCCCCCTCCCCGATTGGGGTTGGGGCCGGCCAGCAGCCAACCTCCCATGTCCCCTTCCCCAGCCAGCCCAGCCTGATTGGCCTGGGCCAGCCGGACCCCACCTGTGCATGAATTCATGCACTGGGCCTCTAGTTCTCATATAAAATACTGTAACATTTCACTAATTGGGCAACAGACATGAACAGTAGGATGCTCTGATTTAAGAAGTATGAATCATAAGATTCAAGTATAATATTATTTTAATATGGTATACTTTGACAGATTATCTCATTTGATCACTAACTAGTCTATCCTCTTAAGAGGTATAGAGGCAGAATTAACATTGCACATTTTAAAAATTGGGAAATTTATAGAAAAGTAAAGTGATCTCCCTGATAATGACAAAATATTAGTAATAAAAATGAAATCTGGTCTCTTTTGACCATACCATGCTGTCTTCATATATGTATATGTGCGTGTGTGTGTGGTTTAGTAATTGGAATTACTAAAAAGAGCTCTCTATAAAGAGATTGTAATTAAATAAGAATGGCTTATAATAAACTTAATCCACCACAAGAGTTGTAAGTTTTCCTAATTCTTTGAGATTTGAAAGAAGTTTCTGACCTCATCTAAATGAATAATTTTACTATAATCCTGTTCATTAAGATAGTATGAGGATATGTGCCTGGGGATGTTACAAATATGCCTAGTTTATAAGGTCAAAAATAAGTAAAGATTTTTTGTCTACTTAAAAAACACACCAAAAAACAATGTGGACTGCTGTTTTCCCAGATGGGGGTAATAACCCATTTCTGTGGTTCCTGAGGGTAGTAGTAAGAGGGCATCAAAAGTGCCTCTGTACCTGATAACCTGCCAGGAACACAACAGGTTATGATGCTATCAACTCAAGCATAAGAAGAGATAGAAACTTTCTATGTAGTGAATATGAATAAGAAATATTGGATGGAAAAATAGCACAAATTAATGCTACTAAAGGAATTACACCCCACAATTTTTAAAGTATCCATCACAACGTTCCAAACTGTAGTTCTTACCCGAACACAGTGAGTAACAAAGGAATCAATACAATCCTTAGCCTGGTGATTATTATATAGGCAGCACCTGTAAGATAATATCCATATCATGAAACTCAAACTATTTGGGAACTACCATCAGAGATAACTATAGTTTAATAGGAACTAGGTGTGGCAGACAGGGAGGAACCTGGCAAGGTCTGTTCAATCAAAGCCCTTTCTGTGTCCTGTTGATAAAGATGGCCCACCAAAACACCTATCAAACATTTGCTTTTCCATCTCCATGTGAATTGCCTTCCTCCTCTGTGAAGTCCCAAAGCTCTACCTCCCTTTCTCCTTAGCTCAAGATGGCACATAAAATAATGAGAGAAAGAAATGGAGTATTAGGCCTTGGGGGGCAAAGAAGAGAAGGATGACACTTTTTAAAAAATGTATGTTTTTATTGATTTCACTGAGAGAAAGGGAGAGGGAGAGAGAGATAGAAAAAGAGAATCATCAATCGGTTGCTTCCTGCATGCCTCTCACTGGGGATCGAGCCCACAACCCGAGCATGTGCCATAACCAGGAATTGAACCGTGATCTCCTGGTTCATGAATCGATGTTCAACTACTGTGCCACACCGGCTGGGAAGCTGACTTTTTAAATAGACGGATCAGGGTAGCCCTCACTGAAGTGATACTGAATGGACCTCAAGGTAGTGAGGGGGCCAGGCCAGCCTTGGGAATTTTTGAGGAAAATGTTCTCCACTCCCATCCCTGTGTAAAGACCATGAGAGAACGTGTATGTTCCAGGAGGAGTAAGGAAACCAGTGTGGCTGAAGGAATGGAGGTGCAGGGAGGGAAGTAAGAGATGAGGTCAGAGAGGCATTATCAGGGGTCTAGATCAGAGCATATGGGGCCTCGAAGGCTCAGTTATAGACTGTGGCTTTTACTGTGAATGAAGTGATGAATATTAACCAGCACCAAGGATGCTTAGGAATTTATTTCCTCCCAGTTAAGAAGCAGTCCTTAAATGAGAGGTGTCTGGGTAAATTCTCAAGTTCCCTTGCCTGAGTAGGACAACTCTGAGGGGTCACCCACACTGTCTCCAGAACTCCCCGACAGGACTGAACCAGAGGAATTACTCTCCATGGAGCACACGTTTGTGTGTAGGCTTTCTTTCTTTTCATGTCCCACTTGCCCAAAAATCTACTGGGTTTTCCTGGGAACACTTTATAATTACATTTACATGAATCCTTGTCTCAGGGTCTGCTTCTGGGGAATCCAAGCTAAGAAAGAAAGCTACTAGAAAGTTCTAAGTGAGATGTGGCATGATTTATCCAAGAAATTGGTTGCTGAACCACTAACTGTTATCTATCCTATCTAATAATAGACAAACATGGTAATTAACTGTACCTCCAACACGCTTCCAATCGGCTAATCAGGGCGATATGTAAATTAACTGCCAACCAAGATGGCGGCCGACAGCCAGGCAGCTGAAGCGAACAGGAGGCTTGCTTGCTTCAGTGATGGAGGAAGCCAAGGTTCCCCACCTGCCGCAGCCCAGCTCTGAGCTCCGGATGCAACAATGTTGCAATTATAGAAGCTAAACAAAACCCAGATACCTGCTTTCAGCAGCGGAGGCCTCAGAGCTGGAGCTGCAACAGTGTTTAAATTACAGAAGGTAAATAAATCCCAGATACCTTTCAGCAGCAGAGGCCTTAGAGCTGGAGCCGGCTCTCAGCTCCAGTGACAGCTATA